GGTTGAGTGCGAGGGCGCAACGGAGCAGTGGATGTCGAGGCGGCGGCCTCGGGAGAGTTGCAGCTTCGAGGGCATGGACCTCGTGTCGTGTGAGTGACGTGGTTGTCATCGATGTTGTTCGTGGGTGGGCTTTGCCCTGTGTGTGTTAGTCTTTAGGGTGGGCTTGGCCCTTGTTGTTTCGGTTTTTGCCCGGTTTTTCGTAATTAACTGGGCAATTCTCTTCTGCTTAATCAATAGATGAGACAATCTTTATCTCCATTTCAAAAAAAAAATCTGGACCGTGTGCTACGACGGACTTAAAAAGAGACAGATTGGGCCAAGCAGTTGCACAATATGTCTAACAGTGGACCAGACGGGCGTCCCGGAGCTCGCGCGCCCGTTTATCCAAGTACATGCAAAAACGGGCGCACACCCCCGCCTACACTTGGGCCGGCCCATCTTACATTCTTTTTACTTTATTTAAAAACCTTTAAAAAGGGCGCTCATGGAGATTTAAACTCTACACCAGTAGGGTGTGTACCAACTCGGGTAACCAAGCAGACAACTTCCCGGTTCTCTTTTATACTTCTTCAAATAACTATTGCTAACATTTTTTTTCAGTTTTTGTTTTGGCCGGTTTTCTTCTGTTTTTTCTTTTTTAAATTCGTGAACTTATTTCAGAATTGATAAACATTTCTCAATTCTATGTGTTTTTCTCCAAATCCAATTATTTTTTTTCAAATCAATGAACTTTTTTAAATAGACGAAGTTTTTTTCAAATTCGATGAGATATTTTTCAATTTCTGTGACTTTTTTTTAAAATTTGATGCACTTTTTTTCAAATTCATGATTTTTTAAAAATTTCATGAACTTTATCTTTTAAAATGTTTTATATTTTCAATTTCCGTGACTTTTTTCCCTAATTTGATGCATTTTTGAATATTTTTTTACAGAGGGAGTAGAGACGATTTGGTGATTTGCTGTCGCCCTTACTTGGACGATTCTTTTGTTCTTGTCGCACATCTGCATTTTGTCATTTTTATGATAAAAACCCAAAGGGCATTTCGTTATATCTGAGAAAGATTAAGTTCTTTTTAGTAAACTGGGAAAGATTAGGTAACACAAACCAAAGTGGTGTAGGACAATTGAACACTGCAAAGAGGCGTCTACAAAAAAGAGAAATTACCCACACAAAGTACCGCCTTCAACTTCGTCGTCGTCTCCATCACGCTCTCTCATCCCATCTCCATAGCGGCAACTGCAGAAGAAATACATAAGCTCAGCAACTTCCGCCAATCCTGTCCAAATCGTCGTCACCATGGGAAAAATCACAAGTCACCCGTCCGAGAGGAAGAAACGACCACCCCCTCAAGTACAACTGCACAAATCTCTCCTCATAAATCATACCTCAACAAACCTGTGCCGATTGCACCAACACACATCGTGTGATACAATCAGATTCGACAAAACATAACATTCACACCCTTCAGCAGTGCTAGACGCGCCATCGGACTTGGACAAAGCAGGAAGGACGTTATATTCCAGTTCTAGTACGTCACCGCCTCCCCGAAAAAGACACAAAACCTAACTAAGAATGGAACGGGGGCCCTCTCGCAGTCGAGGAACCGGTATCAGGGGCTAGGTGGAAGATGGAATCTGGGAGAGCACTTGTTCGAGGCGGCTTTCTACAGATGCGGATTGCTTCGTGTTGATAATTTGTCGTCTTCTTCTAGGGAAAGGAAGATGTATGAGTATGGAAAAAATAAACACGTTATTTGTCACCAGTAGCTAATAGTTATCCTTTTTTGGAACTGTCAGCAAATTTGCTTCGCCTAGCTTACATTCAAAGCTAACAACATGGTCTCAGACAAACACACAACAAACATAGTTTTGACAATTGGGTGAAGAGATGCGACCTACTTATATTTGTCTCTAATAAAAGGCGTTCCATCCAAAATGCCTGAAGATATTTTGCGTATACCCTTCAAACAGTCTTATAGAGTCAGACTGACTGTCAATCCACTCCGCCCAGAGCTACAGACCCAAATTCTGAAGGCACACATGCATTTTAGTAAGAAGAACTCAATGATTTAATTAGTATTGCCTGGTTATCCCTCTAGATCTTGCATATGATTACAAAGAAAATGTTCATGTGGTGCACTTAAAATAAATATTCAAGAAGCAGCTGAGAATAAAACTCGCAGAGGCATCGATTGATATCAAGCCAAGCTGCCGAATCAGGAAGTTCACTCGGTACTCTGAGTTTTACGGAGTCAGAGACAACAAATGAGTGAGAAGTTAGAATGTTGCTCCCCCAAAACAATATTTGAGACGTCCAAACTCTTGATATTCTCCAGAGTAAAGATTGTCAGCTAAAGTTCAGAACTAAAATTCTGGAAGTTCTGCAGCAGTATCTAATCCACATCATTGATATAGCATCCTCTAAAGTCTAACCTCTGAAGTTCCTTTAAGGGCCTAGGATAGTTAATCCACATAAACTCCAGCCATTATGTTGGAACCTTGTCTGTCTCAGGGATTCAACTTCCCCAATGTTTTACTTGGGACCTTAGTGGGGGGAAAATATCTCCCTCCCGGAACAGAGGCAAACAAACAGTTAACTTGATACTCAAGTATATAAAAGGAAAACCAAGGTAAGCATAGCTTCTATCATGACAGCCTCTCTTTGATTCACATGATCGCAAAAACACATAAATAGGGAAGTTGCAAGATTGCAATGTCATGGACACGTTTGTTCCGTTGCACCATAGCAAAAAACAAATGAATCTTTCCAAGAAGTTTGAGTCAATGGAAACTTTCCTAAGGAATACTTCGGAAAATTTACCCATAGGATTCAATCCCTTGAATCAAACAGCCAACTTAGGAAATTCCCTATGAAAATCCTAATGAATCAACAAGGCCCCAAGCTGAACTGAACTTCAATTCTGTTAAAATGTCAGAATGTTATGGCGCTGCTAGATGGAGGGCGCGAGAAGGCCGGCCGGGGGCCCTTTTGCCCACGGCCGGGCAAGAGGAAAGGGATTTCCTTCTTAATTCTTGCTTGATTAGATTGATACATCTCCTCTTTTTATATAGAGAGGTTTACTTGACTCTCAAGCAAGGCTTACTTGACCCCTAAGCAAACTCTCTAATTAACCCTAAGACTAATGGGCCCATTAAGCCCATTACGTACTGTAACACTACACCCCACCTGGACATGCAGCTTGTCCTCGAGCTGCAGCCTAACCAACTTATAACCATGACTCGACGCAACACAAACCTAACATCTAAAAACAAGCCTTTTACATCTCGGCTTGTTTTATTATTTTCAACCTGAAATAGACTATGACGCTTTATTTTGGACGTGCACGTGAACAGCCACCTGGATCCCATGAACACCACCTGGACAAAAGGAGTGCATGTGTATGGCTGTTGGTCTGCACCGCACAG